TTTTTCATCGGCACTATGTAAATATCATTAGCTGCTGAATGGCCTAGTTTCTGGCGATGACAAGTGGGCCTTGTAGCCATTTAATTGCAAATCCTCGGTCCGTGAGTTTCAGCTAAGAGGACTGTAAAACTGCTCTTGCCAGTCAGGATTTGAAGGGTGGCACCATGTCACACTGCCAGAGTCTGTGCACAGAATTTGAGACTACCTGCACTTGTTTCATTACCTCCAGTGGTCTGAAAATTGAGAAAGTGACTATGAAGATGGTTTTAAAAAAGGGAGAACTGTGCACTGAAACAGCATTTCCACCATGACCGTTATTTTCATTGTAACTGCATCGCTCCACTCCATCGAAATTCAATGAATGCAAGGTGGGAAAAGGCTAGTTACTATAAACAGAGACAAGGGAATGGGAACACCCAGTTTGGACTGATGATCAGTGTTACCGCCTCAACAGACCCTGGGTGGAAACAATGCAGCTTTGCCTACTAAATGAATTCAGAAAATACAGACATTAATGGAGCAAAAACAAACACTTAATTATTCTGTGAACATCTCAAATGAACATGGCACCCAGGAGAAGATGTTTCTGACAGTCTTCCAGGAACCATTGGCTTTTGTGCTCCAGATCACCAAGGCAACCAGATTGTCCAAAGCACACAGAAAGAGCTCCAAAATAAACACATAGCTAAGTAGTAGTGAGGTCAGGTCTGATATACACACCTTACATTCATAAAATTTATTATGTGTCCCCGTTGCTGCGGTTCGTGGGACTCCACCTTTTCTGAAAGGATGCCCACAGGGCATGGGGAAGATGCTCAGTGCACATAATATTTTCTAACGATGCCACATAATCTAATCAATAAAGCACAGATCTAAAGAGCAACGGTGAAAGTTTTGGGGGGTTTTTTTAAATGAAAAATAAGCTGACGCCACATAAGCCACGCTGACATCAATGCCTTGCATCGTCGGCAAATGGCTCATCACTTTGAGCTAATCTCGTTTCCCTAGAAACAACCACAACCGCGCGCTGTCATGACAGCCAGCCTCCGTTTACCTGTAGACCGCGGCGTCTCAGGATATTCGGCTCATCCATCACTGAAGACAACGAAAGCACACGGCGGATCCCCGGTCAGTCAGCCCATTCCTGCGCTCCGTTCTCTCCCCGGGAGCGTTGGATACACTCCTCCTCCCTCCTGCTGTTGCTGCTTCTACTGCACCACCATCAACACCTCCTCCTACTCCTCCCCCTTCTCCTCCCATGCACGACCTACCACAAAAGGTGGCCACCACCAGTCCTCCAGTCAGCTGATCACCTGACCAGGAAGAGATGCAGCGTGTTAACCTTATTAATGAAGAGAGGGGTTGGCGCTTTGACCTTCTTATCGACGTTCTATCATCTAGTTGTCAAAAAGCTGACCGCCTTACTGTCTGTAGCTAAATGGCCTTTTTTTAACCCCTAAAAACCCAAGACCTCCCACCCCCATAAATAAAACAAAACAAAAAAAACCAATTCATGAATATTCAACACAGGTGTGAAACAGACACCTTTCTTCATTGCCACCAAAATTCCCATGAAACACTCGCACTCCATTCATTTCCGCATGCTGCCATCCACGCAGGATGTTTCTCGTGAGCTTGTGAAAAAAGAAAAAAAAAACCATCATGCCAAATAACAGCTTGTGCCTGGAGGAATCATGCTTTAACAGTGAGAGGATGCGCAACAACCGAGCTCTCAAGTCAAGCTGAACAGCGGGGACTGATCTGTGCCTGTCACGCAGTGACACTATGATGTTTTTGTTTTGGGGTTTGTTTGTTTTGTTTTTTTCATAAAACAATGGTCGATCTCTTCTCCTGTGATGTAACACGTGAGTTTACATAAGGAGAGGGGATGTGAACCCTTCCTTGTTCTCCCGTGAAATTCACTGTTGATTTGAAACAGCTAAAGTGGAAACTTACTGTGTCAGAATAAAGTTTTGGGTTTTTTCAGCTGAGTGACTGAATACAGTGACTCAGTTTATCACACTACGGTGTGTTGTTTTGTCTTTGTGTGACTGCTTTACGGAGGGAAGGTGTGAAACACTTGACTAAAACATAGCCACATTTTTTCATATTTGTTCGAAACAGCTTTTTATGAAAAGTGAAAAGTGTTTCAGACTTTTTGTGGCAGATTTAAAGCATTAGACCTTTGAATTAAATATTTTGAAATTGTTTCCTCATGTTCTCTGTATAGGTCTTTGACTTCAAACCTCTGCGGCCAGTCAGCCATGGTGATCACAGACAAACAGTAATGTGTTTGGGTTTTCTGTTTGCCTTTCTTTAAATCTGTTCTCTTCGGCAAACAAGACTACAGCCCAAGCACACCATAATCCTACAAGGAAGTGATTTCCAACCATGAGACACTGAAGATGGGTGGATTCCCCCTGTGACGCTCGGCCTGCTGTTGTATTCACCTGATTCATTTTTCTTTGAATCTAATTTAACTGGAAACAGACAGAATCCCTATTGTGCATCGGCCTGTTGTCAAGACTGACCGTGAAAGCGTTTGGAGCTCCGCTGAAGTCATCTTTTTACTACCGCACCAGTCGTCCGTGTCTCTTTTTACTCAGTCTAAGTTTATTTTTGTTCACTGAAAAGGAAAGGTAAAGAGGAAGAGATAAAACTCCCCGTACAATTGTGAAGTTTGGTAGTTACTTCTCAGTTTAGAGATGAAATCACAGACATGTTAGATATAGAAAATATTTCACATCTGGAACAGAAAGCATTTCTGTATTATTGGTCTGTCTCAACCTTGGGTTCAGGTTTATGCTAAAAATTGCGTCCTTCTCCTGACCAAATCCAGCCTCACTTAGCTAATTAAATTCTGTAGTGTAGCTTTACGATCACGAGGGGGCGCCACGGTGCAATAAGTCAATGCGCAAGCTGTCTGAACTTGAAAACGTCACCTCGTTATCTTATGGGAATGGTTTCAGTTACAGATATGATTGTTAGGCAACCGTCGCTCAGGGGGTTGAGGAAGCGTATCTGTAACCGGAAGGTTGCCGGTTCGATCCCTGGGCAAGGTTGCCAGTTCGATCCCTCTCTGTCCTGGTCGTTGTGTCCTTGGGCAAGACACTTTACCCTACTTTACGGCCAAAGGGGCCGATGGCGCGATATCCAGCCTCGCCTCTGTCAGTCTGCCCCAGTGCAGCTGTGGCTACAAGCTGTGGAAGGCAAGCTAAGGTTGTGTGAATGCGAGAGTGAATGAATAGTGGCATTGTAAAGCGCTTTGGGTGCCTTGAAAAGCGCTATATAAATCCAATCCATTATTATTATTAATGTCATAAATCGTGTCAATGAAATATTAACATGATTTATTTATTTTTTAAATTAAAATCTATCTATCTATATGATCCACTGTCACGTTGTTTCTGAAAACTTTTTCAAACAAAAACACGTATGACATGGGTGCAGTTCAATCGAAATGACTGCTGAATTGAAAGTTTCTGTGCCTGGAGGGTTTGTAAAACATATAAAAATACATATTATGTATCTATATATATGTGTAGCTATATAAAACAGCTGTATATTGTACTGAGAGTGAATTTCATCATATGCACTCACAGCTCGAACCTGATGCCCAGACGTGATGCAACGTGTCATCAGACACATATGTGTGTGTATATATATATATCACACAGAAGGACACACATACTTTTACATCATTTTAGTCTTGTCTGATGACACTTTGCATCAGGTCTGGGCAGTGTGTGAGATGACATTCACTGTCAGTACTCTGAAACTCCTCAGTCATGCTGACAAAATGAGTCAGAGGGTTTTTTCCTATCTCACTTAACAATAGATGAAGACCGACAGAGAAGACTGTAAACATTTAATGACAGATTAAACCAGGGTGTCAGTTCAGCGTGAGTCACTTTACACCTTTCACTCGCTTTCATCCGGCAAAAACTCACCTGGGAAAGCACATGATTGTTTCATCACCTTGGTGACTCACTGTTTACAGAGTCGCACACATCTCTGCAATTATAAGGGTGGGGAGAATGCTTGGCAGTGCACTGACCCTTATTACTGACCAAAGTGAGACTTATATGTGCTGATAAGGTCTTGGCAGAGCTTCATGATGTATTTGTTTACTTCTTTAGTCTGTCCTATCAATCATCAGTGACGGAAACTGCAGCATTTTTGCTCTCTTGTTCAGCACAGGGGACAGAAGAGGCTGAGATCAGATATGCAGATCCATTTCGTGCTAAAATACACATTTAAGCTTAGGTCTATTGTGTGACCACATGATTGCTGTCATGGCAGATTAAGAAAGTTCCCTGTTTTGACATTGATTACCTCTTTGTTCTTTTATCTGTCTTCTATCTAACCTTGAGACATTTACTCTGTAGGGTGCTCAACATTAAGAGCCTTGATATAGACGTAATAAACTGTCTCCCTTTGTTTATTTTTTTTATTATCTTTGCCAGAAAATGGCCAGCCCACTTACACATGTTAGGTGAATCTCTCATCAGTTGGAACTTGCTTTTGACCTTTGACTGTACTGGGAACAGCTGCATTGGAAACATTTAGACACAGACTGGTGAGGGTCATTAAACTATCACATGCATAACTCTGTTGGACTTCTTCGAAGTGGTCCGTGTGGATCATTTATTTGCGAAAAGTAATGAATAACTGGAAATTCAAATGCTTCATCATGCTGAGGTGGACGTAACCAAATCTTATCCCAAAATCTCTTCATCCCATTTCTGCTGTCGCCTCCTTCTGTGTGTTGATAAAAACAAAAAAACTTGCAAACGATTAAAAATTTTCTTTCTTACATTTCTGATGTTATAGTTGACATCTTGTTGTCACATAACACAAAATGCTACCATATTATGACATATGGCTCTGGATGAGCCCATCACAGGCTCACCTGACCAAACAGGGGTGTGGCAACACAGGAGCACTATAAATGAAGGCATGCCAGGAATTTAGTTCATAGCATAGGCAAACCTTATCCATTGACTGCTGCTGCTCTCACAAATCAGACCTACCCGGCTGGCTCACCATGTGCATCTCCCACGCGATTCTCCCACTCGTCACCTGCACGCTGCTGCTCCTCGCCTCCACCTCAGGGGAAGGCCAGCTTCACAAGGCCCACGAAAACACACCTGATATGGAGAGCATGGACAGCCAGGCAGTTCTGCTTCTGGAGGCTGTGAAGACAGGGATCCTCAGCTCTTTGGGTATGGACGTGGAGCCCAGACTGACCCAAAAGGCCTCGAAAAAGGAGCTTAGGGAGATGTATCAGCTCTACAGGAGAAAAATAAGGGAGATAAGAGGAAATTCCAGCCAGCCAATGGGGGAAAACTCGCAATCCACCATGTCCACTGTGCTCTTTCCAGGTACAGATGAGAACTCTGTTAGACGGGGCCGCCCACTTGAGCTGCTGTAATAGTGATGTGAAAAGCCAGGTTAGAAAGTTGGATTACAAGAAGAAGACTGAGGCTTTATTATAGTATAGGTTTAACACTGTGTACTTGCAAAACCTGCTATAGTGATGTGGTTATGAATACTACGAATAATATCTTTCCTAATAGTTCACATTCCTGATAAAGGCTGATGTAGCTTAAAATAGAATCTATAGTCATGAAACTGTGGTGTAAAAAAGCAAACACATTCCTGCAAGCTTTTAGAAATCATGAGCGTGACAGGCACACCTTATACACAATGCTTTACTTTGAGGATACTTTATTAGTGTTATCAATAACAACCAATTACAAGAGTTTCATAAAGAATTTATGCAATACTCTTTTATTTCCCCCTTCCCAATTATTCTATGACACAATGCTAATGATCAAAGGATGTAAACAACTTTGTTTCTAATTTTCTTTGTTGTTTTTTGTGTGTGTTTTTCTTTAGTTTCACCAGTTATAGCGCTTCGGAGGGGTTCACGGTCAGGTCCAAGCATGCGGTGGTACAGAGCTGTTTTCCAAAAGAATACGAATATTCAGAATGACTTGACTGTAGCTCGAGCAGAGCTGAAGATTTCCAGACAGGTTCTGGGTAAACTCACTTCAGTCAGGCCTGAAGCAAGGGAGGAGATTAAAATTAAAGTCAATGGGGGAAAGCCAGCAGTGTGGCCGGCTGCCTGGACTGACTCTGTAGCCCAAACTAATATCTCAAACATTCAAGATGCGTACCTGGACATCATCCCAGAGGTAGAGAAGTGGTTCAAGACTAATGGGAAGCCACTGGTTGTGGATGTAGGGGTGGCTAACAGAGGGGCCCTCAAGCCGATCTTTTCTCTGGAATTAGACCTCACACAAGCCAACCCCGCGCAGAGGACGAGGCAGCGTCGCTCCAACAAGGAAGATGACTGTGCTGAACCAGGATGGTGCTGCCGGAAGTCAGTCACCGTGTCCTTCGAAGACATCGGCTGGACAGACTGGGTTGTAGCCCCAGTCGAATACACCATGCATTTTTGCGACGGCACCTGCCCCCACAACTACAAGCCGGCAAGCATGCACACTCAGGTCAAGTCTCGGCTGCACCAGATCACCAAAGGAGGGACACCTCATCCCTGTTGCGTGCCGGCAGCCTACGAGCCCATGGTCCTCATGCACTACGACAGCAGGGGAAAATTGACACTGACTACTTTCACTGACTTTATTGTCAGTAAATGTTACTGTGCCTGAGGAGAAAATGCAACCAACCACTTCTTCAAAATTTAAAGAAGTGTATTTTCTGGAGTGTGTTGTCTTTTTTTTTTTTTAAGCGTTACATACACAAAAACACAAAAAACAAAGGTTTTCAATGAGTATTAACGAAGCAATTACATTTAAAATCAGAGTTATGCATTAGTTTAAAAAGCAAAAATACCTGTGCTTGTAAACATTTTCTATTAGTTATTTATTTAAGTCTATTTATGGTACTGTTTGTGTTGCCTTGTTTTTGATTTGTTACATCATTATTTAGTACTATTTAATATTTAATTGCACTGGATTGTCTGATTCTGTGAGTTTCTTTTTTTTTGTATTTTGGTTGATGTCTTATACATTTCCATTCATATGGAAATACCAAATGCTGAACTGCTGCACTTAAAGTTGTGATAATAAAATATATTTTCTTACAATATTTCCTTGTCTACGAGCCTTTAAACACACACTGTAACACCTTGCCTCCACTGTAAAAGAGTGCAGCTACTTAACCAGCCTGTCTGAAGTCCAGATCTCTCTTCTAGCGAAGGCAGTTGGCAAGTTATGAAATGAAAAAAAGAAGAAGGTGAAATCCTAGGAGAAAACACTTGGCATTTGGAAAGTAAGGCAGCTGGGTGTCTCAGTTCCCAGCCACCTGTTTAAAGCAGAACTGATGCAACACGGGGGCAAACATGCCCCTGCCACAAAATGTCAAACTGATAATGTAGTATGCAAGTCGTACAAATAAAGTATAATACAAAAAAAAAATACCAACAAAAGCTTTCTAAATCAGCCTTGGCTCGGATAGCTCACGGGTAAAATTCAAAGGGTTTTGTCAGTGGAGCTAGTCACTAGTAATCCCTCCTTAGGTTCACAAGGTCCAGCCACGATGACGTCACTCTGTTAGCACTGAGCAAGGGCCGCCCTTTGGCACCCGCACCACACAAGTGTGCGGGGGCTGCCTCACTGAAGGCTTTTGTCTAGGCTTGTCTTCACAGCGGTCAGGATGAAAGAAAAGGGAGCAGGGCTTGTCAAAGAGGTGTATTTACATTAGAAAAGATAAAAGATGAAATAGAAAGATAATATTAAAAAAAAGACATCATCTCTTTTCTTTTATAGGCCAAAGGTGTTGACAGTCTCAACATCAAAATATCACAAAAAGCGTTTGAAGTGATTGAATAACCACGCAAGTAATGTAATCACTATTCACTATAAGTGAAAACTATGGAAAACTACCGTTTAGTCATATGTTGTCCATCAACTTAATGATCTGGAGGTCAGTGGATTATGTTTTTTATTTACATTTTAAACTGCAGCCAAACTTCTTCTTCTTTCTTTTTTTTTGGCAGAAGGAGTTGTTACAACACTATCAGGTACTAACCTGAAGTGGCTGATAGTGTCAGGTCAAGGCGTGCCAGAGAAATCAGGCTGTAAAGAAGAGATAGTCTCCTTAATGACCTTGGCGCTGTGTTTAGTATCATCTTGTTAAACAACATAAGGGATATATATATATATATATATATATATATATATATATATATATATATATATATATATATTAGGGGTGCAATGATACACAAACTTCACGGTTCGGTTCGATACTTTGGTGTCACGGTTCGATATTTTTTCCATACAAAAAAAATGTTCATGCCTTTTTAATTTGTCATTTATTAAAATTATAAATATATATTTTAACTCAAAAGTACAGTTTTTAAATTTAACCCTAATCTTTGTGCGTGTTTTTTATTTTGACAGCGAATGCGCACCACTTATGTGCACCCCTGGTTATATAGCTCATCATATTGCAGCCACAGAAATTCTTTTGTCCATGAAACCATAAAGCTGCACTTTCTTTTTGCCTTATAGTCTGATTTGTCATAACTTTTCCGTTTTGTGGTAAGCTTTTCTTTGGTTGTCACTTCTTCACCCTGACCTGTCTTATTTAAATAAATGATAAATGGCCTGTATTTATATAGCGCTTTACTAGTCCCTAAGGACCCCAAAGCGCTTTACATATCCAGTCATCCACCCATTCACACACTGGTGATGGCAAGCTACATGTAGCCACAGCTGCCCTGGGGTGCACTGACAGAAGCGAGGCTGCTGAACACTGGCGCCACCAGGCCCTCTGACCACCACCAGTAGGCAACGGGTGAAGTGTCTTGCCCAAGGACACAACGACCGAGACTGTCCCAGCCGGGGCTCGAACCGGCAACCTTCCGATTACAAGGCGAACTCCCAACTCTTGAGCCACGATCGCCTGATTTTTTTGGCTCAGCAGAACTAAAGTATATATCCTGCTGGTTTTACACACGCACTCACATAAGCTCAGCGATTCTCTGCGCGATCAACCTCTCACATGTTTAAGCTTGCTGCGGGAGATTTCACTTGTCATGTTTGCATAGTAAGCTAACGATTAATAGTATTTTAGTATTTAGTATTTATTTATTTATTGTCATTGACAAGAACAATGAAATTGGGTTTGGGGCTTCCATACAACCCAAAAAAAAAGAAGAAAATAATAAATACCCCTTAAAACCCAAGTGTACATATTTAACCCAGTGTGACTCCAATGCAATAAGACAATCCTTAGCAATAATGTTCGTAGAAATTCAGACAAAGACCTGAGAAACATGACAAAATACAACAATGCACCCATTCAATATTATTGTACTGTGAGATATGATATCAGATATGATAGTTATCTATTTAAGAAAGAGGGGGGGGGGGGGGGGGGGCAGGAGGGGGAAGAGAATAAAGATATGATGCACCAATGCAGACCAGTTCATTGCTATTAAGAAGTTGGATATGGTTATTGTCCGTGAGAGGGGGGCAGAGAGTTCAGGAGCCTCACAGCCTGTGGATACAGGCTGTTGGCCAGTCTGGATGTTCTGGCCTGTATAGACCTGTACCTTCTCCCTGAGGGCAGCAGATGGAAAAGGTGGCGCGCAGGGTGATGTTGGTCCCGCAGGATACTGTGCACCCTCCTCAGACAGCGAGTGGGGAAGATATTACTGATCTCTGGCAGACTTGTTCCAATAATTCTGCCAGCTTCTTTCACCACCCGCTGGAGTGCTTGCTGATCGGCCTTGGTGCAGCTGGGGAACCACACTAGAAATCCATACGTCAGAACGCTGCTGATGGCACAGTTGTAGAAGTTCAACATCAGAGATCTGGGAATGTGTGCGCTCCGCAGTCTCCTCAGGTAGTAGAGGCGCTGTTGGGCCTTCCGTACAACTGAGGTGATATGGTTGCCCCAGGACAGGTCCTCGGTCACAGTTACCCCCAAGAAGATGTCAGAGGAATTGGTGCACAAATTATCATCACTCACCAATCAGTGCTGTCACTCTCTATACACAGTTTGCACGATTGCAAAGTGAAAGCAAAAAAACAAGCGCAAATTCAAACGCGACTTCAATATGTCACATATTGACAGTGGCTCACCGATGCCAATGACATAATTACCCAGCTACATTTCTGAAAGAATGCAAAAGCATTGACATATATTTTTCCTACAATAGCCCGACGGGCAGGGAAGAGATAGATTTTGGTAGCCCGACTGGAAAAATCGCTAGCCCCGGGACGTCGGGCTAGCGATATTGCGAGCCCTGTATCTGATTGAGGAATCACTCATCTTTGGAAAAGAGAGTTTATTACAGAGAAATGGCTCTTTCCAAAATAAAAGCTATACTATCCGCTTCTTCTGGGCTATATTCTTAGCAGCATATTAAACATATCAGGTCCCCATAAGGAGAATCATGTGCTAACGCTGTCTAAATGACTCGGGTAAATTTGTAGCATGCATGCTTGTTGTTTTTGTCTGCTTCCACTTGTCTTTGCACTAGGATGATGTCAGAGTAAATGTGCAGTCATATTCGTTGTGTTCCCACTAGTGCTTTCAGGTTAATCTCGTTGAAATGACCTTAACGCCACAACACGGCAAATCTCCTTAACGAGCTACCCCTGATCGCCGTGCATGGGGCTGGACAGCCAACACCTTAAGGAGCTAACTGCGCTAGTTCCCACCCATGTAATTGAGCATTGCTGGCACATCCAACATACTGTTTTACTTTAGTCCATGACTCGCTTACCTTCAGGGTCATACGCAGTGTTGGGACTAACATGTTATTAAGTAACGCGTTACAGTAACTACGTTATTATTGTGGTAACGAGCACGGTAACTAGTTATTATGCCAAAACCGGGAACGTGTTACTCGTTACTGGGATTTAAATAGGGTCGTTATTCGTTACTTCATGTGGTGGCTATCGCGGAGCTTCCACAGATTCAATAACATTAGCAAGTGGTGGAAGCCAGCAGGTGGATGAAGGAAAAGGGAGGCAAGAGGAGAGAGTGTCAGGTGAATTGAACTTCAGGTAAGAAGTTATAACCTGCAGTCCATCTGGGTCAGATATGAACCAAGTTTAGGTGGAGTTTATTTTCGTTATGTTGACTTTTTCCGTACTGCGTGCTAGCTAGCATGAGTTTCTATACAGCTGGGTGGTGCTATGTTACTGATGTTGAACTTTATTTTGTTCATAAGGTTAATTATTAGAGTTGCCAACCGTCCCGTAAAAACGGAATCGTCTCTATTCAGAAAATATTACGCGTTTCGTATTGAGGTGAAAAGGAACATTTTGTCCCGGACTTCAGCTACAATGAAAAAGACACAAAGCTGGATTTATTCTGTCTTTGCTGCAAAGCTGCCTCTTCTTCTCTCATCCTCTCCCCCTCCCTCTCCTGTTTCTACTTCAATCATGAAATTGATCAATGATCAGCTGATCGGCTTTTCTCTCTTATTTATTTATCGCCCACTTTGCACCAGAAAGAGGAAACCAGCGGATGTCTCGGTAAACAACAGCAGCAGTTTAAGCTTGATCAGCTGTTGTTAGAATTTATTTATTATTAATTTCTAGTATCAGCTGATGTTGGCTGGAGCCACAGCTGTAAACCTGCTGGTCATGATATCGGTTTGGTTATGTGGTGAGAGGGAAACATGAAGATGAAACCAGGAGATGTCCTTACTGAATCATCAGAGCTGTGATGGAGAAACAGGTTTACCTTTTAGTTAACATGAATGAGTTGAAGGGAAGTTATGAAGTAAACTAGTAAGTAAGTAAGTAAACTTTATTTATTAAGCGCTTTTCACATCGCTTAATAAATAAGCGCTGTGAAAAGCGCTTATTTATTAATACTTAATAAATGAACACTTAATAAATGAACTGTTTCTGAGAGACAAATAACACCAGGATCCTTTTCTAAGTAGCTGACAGCTGGTAACTGTGCAGGGGCGGGTCTAGCAAAGTGTTGCCAGGGGGCCAGGTAGAGCATTAAAAGGGAAAGGGGGGCACAAGGAAATACTTTCTTATTCTCATTTAAAATGTCTCACTTTTAAAAAAAAAAATTATCTGAGTCTTACAACAA